TGTGTGTGTGTGCTTGTGGTTTGAAGCCCCTTTCCACCCACCTGGAGTTCAGCATTAAGACATTTTCATTATCACTTTACTTTAGTACCGGTCCAGATTATTTTGTAAACTTTTTAAAGTGTAACTGAACTCCTAAACTCTGCCAGCTCTCTGCCTCCCAGCGAAAAGATATACAGCAGGTAGGATCGTATCGGGACGCGTGGCCTTGCGGCTGTGGAGTAAGTGTGATGTGTGCTCGATGTTGTATATAAAACCAGTGTGTTAAATAAAAGACCGGTCGAGCTTTTTAGGTATCCACTGGCAGCTATGGGTCTTTAGGAAGAGATGTAATTAGGTCAGGGTCTCCCACCATCGGCGTGCTGCTTGCTCATCACCTGCCGGCGCTTTAGATAAGGTCACCTGGAGGCAGTAGAAGACTAAAGCAGCGTCGGTAGCTGTCGGCTTATTGTTGTTGTGCTCATTTTGTTGGCGAGGTGAGCACGTTCCCTCATCTAACTGTGCTAACAGCTGCTGAAGCAGATGTAATGGAGGCACAATTATGTAACCGCAGCCAGAAGGAAGGTGCAGTGTTCTCGTGGATCTCGTCTGTATCCGAGCGGATAGTAAGCACATAGCCGGTACGAGCTTAGATCCACTTCTCACTCCTCAAGGAAATGACAGAATATCTTTCTATTTCCTGACCTCCCCGCTGCTGTTATCCCCGTTACTAACACTTATTTTGTTGAATATCTTATTTTTAGGGCGGTGTGGTGAACAACCGAATATCAAAATAGTTCCTGATTCATTTTTTGGTTGATTGACTAATTGACAAAAAATCCCAGAACTGTATTTCGTTGCCTTTTATCAAGAGAAAATGTACAGATATGATTTACTGACTGAAGGAGAGTACAGAGTTGCAGTCTGTGATCTGTGTGTCGGATTGGTTGAGGGTAGGAAACATTCTCCAGTGATACATTATCAATCCACTGCAGCTCGGGTTGGGCGGCAGGGTGTATGTATCGGGAGCAGGCTGACTTCAGAGCTGGAGTTTTGTGCATTTATGGTGTTTCAGTGCGGCTGCAGAGCTCGTAGCCTCCAACAGCTACAGTACCTCAGTGTACTGAGATACTGTAAGATAGGTGATGTGGTATTTGTAGTCCTCAGTTTACCTTTACAACACTGTTAGTTTGGGGTTTAAACACCGAAATCGATACAATATCATGAAGATAAAATATCTGTTATTTTTTAATATTTTCTCACACCCCTACATGAGTAGTTTATATTTGAATGATGTGAGACTGTTTATTAGGTCAAGATCCAATTCTGAACTCTTGATTATAGAACAATTACTTGATTAATCAGCTTTTAACTGAATCAGTTATTTTGATTGAGTCATTTTTGTTGGAAAAATGTCCAAATTCTCTGATTTCAGCTTCTCAGATGTGATTTTCTGGTTTTCTTTAGACAGTAAACTGAATCTCTTTTATGTTTCTGACATTTTACGGACCAAACAACCAAACAACCGGTCGATTAATGGAGAAAATGATCCCCAGATCGATCCATAATGGAAATAATGGTTATTTGCGGCCCTATTCGATTATTGTTTCATCTCAGTCGTCTTTTGAAATCCCGTGAACGTGACGGCTGGTCAGCGTTGGTGCCACTTTCATCCACATGTGTCAGCCCACCTCTCATACGTGTTCAGCGTCACAGCGGTCCCCCGTAGATAATATCGCCTTATTTATCTCCATGTGCCAGCAGTGATTCTGTCACTCAAACTGCATCGACACAGCAGGAGCCCCGCTTTGTTTTCTGCTCCGCTCGGGTCATCTGCTCCTGTAAGCTAAAGCTGCTGCTGTCGTTAACGGAGGTTGTCTTTGGGATTAAGGGATGAAACATTTCACCATTTACTTCTATTGTATTTAACGGGATTCCCAGCTACGTTCATTGTACATTGTCTTCTTAGGGCTGCACAGTAAATCGAAATAATCACACAATGATTTTTTTCATACCAGAGCTGTTGAAGCCCCGCCCCATTTAGCACCGCTCTGTTTTGAACTGGCCGTTGTTCCCTTAAAATAAAGGTTTGCGTATTTCCTCTTTAAGCGCTTCACACTGGACATCAACGGTAGCGCGAGATTTCTAGAGAGACCTTCAGAAAGTTAACGTTGCGAGCACCTTACTGAGGTCAAAAGTATGTAAGTAATACAGCAAAATGTACGTAATTATCGCGCATTAAATGCTCCACGTCACTGTTTTACTGTTCTATGTATGATTTATGAAATATTACTGCTGTATTAAGGTTGAGCTAATTTTTCCGATACTTTATAAACTGTTTGGTAGTTTTGGCCTCGATGCCCCAATAAATTTGTATTTGTCAAAGGCCCAAATGACTTAATTCCCCATTAATGTTAATGTCAGAGGAAAACTGTAGTAAAGTGGAGTCAGTCAGGCCAAGTGCGCCACGAAAGTGAGCTAACGCGTCCCATAAACGCTGACCACCTACCTGTAATGAACCCGAGACACCTGCATCAGTAAAAAAGAGGAATAAAACTGCGGTTTAATGTGTCAATACTGGACCTACCGGTGAATTATGTGACCGTCTGGCAGAAAGTGCTGTCCTGGATTGTCTAGAAAAACTGGAAAATGATTTCCTAAAGAGTGGAAACCCTGTTAAATTACAAACATAAAATATCTAGCTGGATACGACTCGTGTCGAAGTGAGAAAGTGGTCTGACGTTATAGAAAATACCAATGTGGTAGCACGAGTACTTTTGTTTGATGGCGACCTGTGTTCTCATGACTTCTCACCACCGTCTGCTGATATCAGCTCACATCTGACCTCACTTACCGTATCAGAAACCCCTCTCCCCCCGATACGTGTCCTGTAGGCCTAATGAGGCACGGCGTTCACAGTAAAAACAGTCCTAATACGGCCTCTAAACTGAGGTTTCATACGAATAATCCAGAGTCAGCTGCTGATGATTCAGTGGGGCAAACAAACAGGCCTCTCTGAAAGAGGAAGTGCTTACTTCCTAGGTTCTTGTTCCTGTCGCTGTGGCTGCAGTTGAAACGCTGCGTCCACCGCTCATTCCCACTCTCCCATCCCCTCGGCCCAGTTTACGTTCACACGACCAGTTCGGTCCTCCTGGGGCTGGTCCACTTCTACTAGTCTTATGCTAAATAATGGTGCACAACATACATACTACATACATAATATATACATATATATATATATATATATATATATACTTAC